CGAAACGCTTCCCCCTTGTTGAATTGCCAGTCCTGAGTGTCGGGGGAAACTCATCAGACACATGCCACTAGAGCGGCCCTCGTCAGGAAGCCTGGATGCATACGCTCGCTCACTCAGTCGGTTGGACATGTGGCGCCGCAAACTGACCTTGCCAGCGGCGATAATTCACAACAGCTCATTCTGACAGCTATGCAGACGCGTGGGTACAAGGCAAATTTGATTTGAGATTGCGTGTTTGTCACTTATTATCTGGCCACTTTTTAGGCAATCGCATATTAATAAAAAAATTGAAATGTTTCAAAGCTCCATGACAATGAACGATTGAAATGTTTCAATTCTCAATTTCAAAGCAAGTCTCTTATTTTAAAATAGCAAAATAAATGTCGGACCCAAACTGTCTTTTCTATTAATTTCAAATATCATTTGGTGTTTGAAATTGATGTTGTTTAATTATTAGTCGAATGGCCTGGAGTTCAGGCACGAGTTCTCAAATTGAAACCGCCTTGATTCCAGTGACATTTTCTGTGTGTTTCCCCTACCTTCTCTTTCCCTACTTCCGCTCCTGAAGTACCTGCGCTAGGTTGGCGTGAAAGTGAACTCAATTGCGGAAACGTTCAATTTTTATTTCCATAAATACGAAGTGAGCGATGCATGGAATATATTGACTATGTCACGTATATATTGTCTAATGACTGCAAAAGACATCCCTCTAACGTTTACATCCTGAAGATGGATTAGTTTACAGTGTAATTGATACATTTGTATTAAATTTCTAATGGAAACTGTGTACTGGAAATAAGTTCTATGTCCACTGAGTTTCATTCAAAGAAGTTTACAGTGTGTAACTGTTCCGTGTTACGTGGCGGCGCCGCTTGTCCGCGGGCGAGTGCGGTTCCGCCGGTGCAGCCTTGGAAAAAACTCCTGCGCCTGAGGGAGGGGGGTGTCTCCGCCGTGCGAGCCGTCGCCCCGGGCGAGAGGGTTCCCATCCCGCGCCCCGGGCGATCCGCGCCTGACGTCAGCGAATCGCGATTAGGTAATTGGTAAGCGGCGGGCGGGCGGGAGCCGCGGTGAGCGCTGCTGAAAATATCGATGGTGCAGCGCTGTCGCGGCGAGCGCGTGTGGGGACGGGGGGGGGACGCGCAGGCGCGGCCGAGCGGCTGTCGGGCCGCCCGCTGACTCACCGGTGCCGAGACGCGCGCCGCCGCCCGCCGCCCCCGAGGATCTGCGGAGAAGGGTTCAAAGAACGGCGCTTCGCAGTACAGTTTGCGACTCGTTTCATTCGCGTCATACGGTTTGTGAATTATTTCCGGTGATTGACGTCCTGAATTAGTAGCCCCCACACAGCTGATAAACGGGGGGTGTCTCCTCCGAATGCGCGTCGTGTTTCCTGTGTTCCGGATCCCTGTCGGTTGTCGGAGATTTTCTACATCCGTGGGATGGGCAATGCGAGGGTCGGTGATCGGCTCTAAAGGTTGGGGAAGGGGACAGAATATAGAAGGATGGCGCGTTGTCTGTGGCACGAATCTGATTACTGCTCCGGCATTCGCCTACAAGTGTTTGGGAAATTGCTTGTAGGAGTAGTGGGACTACGAAATAGATTCCGGTACCACCACAAACTGGTCGATGTTATTAGTATGTTAATACAAATCAGGGAAACTTTTGGACCTTTACGGATATCGAACTGGTGATATTGCCAATCACTGGTATTCTAGAGCAGGAAGGTGTTATCTTACAACATTCGCGGTGTGTCCATTTAAATTGGGTCATCCAAATTACCTCCTAGAATGCTCATCATATGAGACACTAATGCTAAAAGAATACGTAGTGTCTCGCATTAGAAACGGTTACGTAAAATTATAATACCGCAGTTTGTTACGACCATCACTTGTAAAACCCAATCTTAGCGCATTATACACGAAAATTTAATTCGTGTAAAGGTAATTCTTCAACGCCAATTCGACAATCCAAAACTTGGTTCCATACGCTCAAACAGAGACTGACATTGAGAAGATATTCTGAGAATTTCAAACTACCGTTTGCAGATACGAAAATTTAGAAAAGTACGCTAAACTATTAATATTATTTCACAATTGCAAATGATGTCCTTTTTAAGGAATTGATTTTTTAAATATATTTCAGTGAACAAAAAATTGGCAATATCAATGTCCCCCCCTCCCCTCCCCCCTCAATGATACAATGTGGGCGCCCAAATTCGAATAAGATTATTTTCCTGTGCCGTTTATTGACACATGTAGTGATTAAATTTGAAGCAGTTTATGAGAAAATAATTTTAACGCTTTGTTATATTGTCAATATTACTCAAATTTACGCACAAACTATTATTTTCAAAAAAGTATAGATCTTAATTAATAGCGCGTTGTTGGTATGTGTTAAGGTTTCATATTTAAACCAACTATGTTTTAGAAAATGGTTTAATGTGCATGTGATTTCGTGCTGTGGTGGAAATATTGATTGCCAGTCACCAATTAGCAAGAGGTTTAAATATTTGAATTTCTAAGAAGTAAACCGTTGAATTATTAATTCCTTCTTATTGATTCAGAGGAATTCATGCACAATACGTAACCCTTCTGAGAAAGTATGATGAATAGCTTTAATGTCAACGAATCCTTAACGTTCAGAAATTGTGCGCAATTACTTTGACTGCTAGTAATTCATTTTTATTAAGAGTGAGGCAGACTTTTTTCAGGAAGGTGATTCGACTTTTACAAAACAATGTAAAAGCTAACAACACAACTTTTCTGGATATAAACCGCCCCAGAAGCGCAGAAAATCAGTGTTTTATTTTATGTATAATGCACGATTTATTAAATATTTAGTCGTTTATTAATTTCAGCAGGACGTTGTTTGACACGAGATAACCGAAACAATTGCAGTTTGTTTGGCAGCTGCTCGTAGTGTTTTAAAGCGAGGTCGGTGGCATATGGCGCAAGTTGAGTCGGCCGATCATTCTCCAGAGGTTGGGGACATGACCTTTCTGAAACGTCTAAATGTTAAGGTGCATGAACTCAAGAGATAGCGTGGTTATTTGAGTCCTGGGTAATATGAATCTTAGCTGTAGACTTATGTTGCTAGAACAGCACGCACTTTCCGCACATAGCGTTACCTAATATTATAATACCCTAATTTCTGTCGGTATTATCACATCTGTTATCACTGTTAAGACGTGTAGAGATAGGTAGATATTTATTTCTGCAGGTAGATGTATGCAACCTGGTGGCAAAATACAATTCACAAATCATAAAATTGAGAATATTAATGCAGTGTAACTTTGAATTATTGTATTTAAAAAAAATAACGATAAGAGCATTAACTCTACATTTTGTGGCCATCATGTGCAGCTATTTTAAACTAATAAAAACATAACTTAACTACACTACACTACACTTCACTTCAGAACACTTGCTGTAATGCACGATTTGTTAAGTATAAAATATCTATTATATCCAGATATCGTGACGCTACTTATTGTGAAACCTCATAGCAATTTAGAGTCTCCCTCTATGCCCACGGTGTGCATGGTTTCGATCGCTAAAGAGCACGCGTCTCGGCTGGGAGTCTAAGATTCAATTCCCATCTTGGGCTTGGATGTTAGTTCTGTCTAGAGACACTGTCAGGATTTTATCATCTAAATGAACACTTTCTTCTCCGCCCCTTCCCAGGTTAGAAACTAGATAAAACCTTTGTAGGAAATGTGGCCTTCGCTGAGGACAGGGGGAAGAATACGAGTCCGCGGCCCACAGTGGCTGTGAATCCTCAAAGCGTCTCTGGACCTCAGCGGTTCAAAGGACGTGCCTACTTGTCAATGTTGTGCCGTGCGATCGAAACGTAGCAAAGGAGGCTGAGATGTGTCTTGAAAACAAAGAGTTTGGAAAGCCGAAGATCAGCCGAATGAGGGCCGTCAAATCAGATCGTTATCGGAGCTCTTGGATTTGTTTCGGAAAATATGTGTAAGAACTTGGCTAAACTCCCAGGTCAATCAAAATAGTGGAAATCACAAGGCATTGTTGTTTGTTAACAGCCCAATTTTTGGCAAAGTATCGTAGAGGCACACAGTCCCTATCTGCTCGTTAGGAAACTGGTTACAACCTGGAGTAGATTTTATATTAAAACGACTCCAACATCTTTAGTTGTAAATCAGGACAAGCATAATAATAATCATAATCATAATAATCATAATCATAATATATTATTATTATAATTTAATAATAATTCATTTATTTGCGTTCTGATGAAGCAGAACAATCTCTCAACTGTTTGTAATAAGACTTAAATCTAAATTTCGATGTATTATGTGATGTCCAACAT